CCTACTCATGCTCTCTCTCAAATAAATAAATAAATAAATAAGTCTTAATAAAATAAAATCCTTGTATAAAATACTGTTGACATTTTTTACATCATTTGCATTAAAATATTATAGTTGTAGAAGTTACCTATTCTGTTTGTTACCACTTTTATGATACAAGTTTTATATAAACACATCTTTATTTTCTGTTATGGCTTCTTGATATTGCTCCTTACCTCTCTCTTTCACCTATTCTTTCTAACACTTACTCAGCTTCCCAGAATCAGCTCAAACTCAAAAGTCACCTCCTGTGTATCAACTAACTTTCCTTCCATTTACCCCAGGCAGATACAATTCTCTCTCCCCTGTACCAAGTTATTTAGTGCCTTGAGTTGTCCTTGCCTGACTTCGTCAGCCCACTGGACTGCAAGCTTCTAGAAGACAGATTCAGTGTCCTATTCACTTATGTTAAATCCAACACCAAACACAAAACTTTAATTCATGGCTACTCAATATTTAGTGGACAAACAACATACTTAGGTGTTTGTTTGTTTGTTTGTTTGTTTGTTTGTTTTTGAGAGACAGAGAGAATACAAGCAGGGCAGAGGGAGAGGGAGAGATAGGCCTTGCGCTGAGCAGGGAGCCCGATGTGGGACTTGATCCCAGGACCCTGGGATCATGACCTGAGCCAAAGGCAGACACGTAACAACTGAGCCACCCAGGCAGCCCAATACTTAGGTGTTTCAATGAAATTTTTACTTCACACCTACTTTAAATGACTTAATTAGTGCTTCTATAAAGCTTGCTGAAAAACAAAAGATTGGGTTAACTCAGGATTCCCAAGTGAGATGACAATGCATATTTGTGATGTTTATTAGATTTTTTTTAAAGACTTTATTTATTTGACAGAGAGAAAGAGAGCACAAGCAGGGGGAGTAGCAGGCAGAGGGAGAGGGAGAAGCAGATTCCCCACAGAGCAAGGGGAACACGATGTAGGACTCGATCCCAGGACCCCAGGATCATGACCTGAGCCAAAGGCAGTCACTTAACCAACTGAGCCACCCAGGTGCCTGCTTATTAGATATTTTAGAGAAAGAGCACTTACTCATTTCTCCACAGAACTACAACACAGAGGGAATAAGAACCAAAGTGCATTTTCCCCCTTATCCAAAAATTCAGTGCCTGCTAGCGTGATGGGCATACTTCTAAGAATATAAAATGAGATTCTGATACAGTTCTTAGATGGCCCTCACCCTTGAGCCTATCCCACTGCTTTACAGAATTTTCACTTGTTCTTTTCCAGTCAGCACCCTATTGGGTAAAGCTTCCTGTAGAATGTGTGTATGATGCAGAGATCAGTATCTTATCAGGTCATCACACATTCTTTTTTTTTTTTTAATATTTTATTTATTCATTTGACAGACAGAGATTACAAGTAGACAGAGAGGCAGACAGAGAGAGAGAGGGAGGGGGAAGCAGGCTCTCTGCTGAGCAGAGAGCCCGATGCGGGGCTCGATCCCAGAACGCCGAGATCATGACCTGAGCCGAAGGCAGAGGCTTTAACCCACTGAGCCACCCAGGCGCCCCTCATCACACATTCTTATTTTCATCTTTTACCTACTTCAATGATTACTGATGGAGAAAGTTAAGAATATAAATATTAATGAAAGGCTTGGCTTTGCATAATTCTTTATCAAAAGCTTTTTTTGTCTTAAGAGAACCAGTCAGCTTGAAAACTATCAGAACAAAAATATAAAGAGATGATTATCTTGACAACTCATGCTTGTTTATGCTTCTGTAATATGTATTGTTTGGAAGACAACAGGAAATTCAAGTTTATCTTAAAGTTAAATTTGTCTTAAATAGGCATGTAAATCCTGGCAGATAATAAGTGCTCAATAAATAGTTATTGGCTCAAGGACTGAACTGTAGTTAACTGACAACCTCATTTATAACTTTGTTATTTTTAGAGTTGTTTTAAAATACTCACACCCAACATTCTCTAACTGATGGCTTTAAAAAAGAAATTAATTCCACAAATGTGCATTTGGCAGAAACTAATGTTGCTCAAGGACCTCAACAGGAAACCCAAGTTTGGCTTCTTTCCCCTTGGCAATTTAGAGCCGAAAACAGCTTCTAGTGACAGGCTCATGGCAGTGTTTTTAGAGCAATGGCTCACGTCAATTTTTTGTGGTTTTGGTGCCAAATCTAAACAGACTAAAGAACTAAACCTCAATCTAAAAGCCGCGTTGTCTCCAAAAATTGACTTAGGGATATGGCCCTTAGTCTATACGCTACTGGGCAAATGGTAACCATGTGAAGGAAGGGATGAAGTTTAATGTGGGCAGCAGTTCTAAAAAATACAAAATTATTTAAGTACAGTGGCACCATTTAAGGCATTTGGAAGAGATACCAGAACAGAATTCACTCATAGAACCTGTTCAACAATGTATCAGTTCTTTAGCAAGAAATTAAAATATAAAATATTGCTCAATTGACCCTTCAACCAACATTCCACTCTCCCAATATCTGAGAAACTGGGCAGGGGAGGAAGCAGACAGCTTCTAATCACCCTGTGGCCAACAAGGGTTGCTTAAACTTTCAAGGTATGATATGGAGCAAGGGAGAAGATTGAAAATAATAGCTTTCACCAGCCTTTCACAGATCTTTAACTTGACAAATAAATGAAAACAAACAGCTCTAGTTTTCTTCTTTTGCCCTTGGCATCATTTTCCAAATACTTAACCCTGATGGGAAATTGTTACTTTTTGTACAACCCCCATCAGGGTTCTGTGAATCCTCCTTGGGTACTGGAGAAGGAAACAGGTCCTACTGGTCTTTCCCACCACAAAGTGGCTGAATCACAGACATGGACATGGGGATGACAAGAAGACAGTCTGGCTCTCAGAGGCATTGAACTCAAGTGACATTTGATACAATTTATTCACAGGCCCTTGGAGTACAAAAATAAAGCAAAGGCAAAAACAACCTTCTAGAATGCTCTCTTTTCCGTCTCCTGGACCAGTGGCTTCGTTCTAGTACATTAAGACTGCTAGATTAGCTTATCATTCAAAATCTTACCATTTTCAGAACAGTGAATTCAGATCATATCAAATTTCTTTCTTTTTTTAAGCTAGGAAACCCTAGGGCTAACTCAGTGAGCCTTCCCCAAGACTTCATAAGTCTGAAGAAATTGTGCCTCTGTGAGATTCTCCATGAGGCTTCTTACCAACACTTAGCTGGAAGAACGGGTAAAAACAATGTAACAGTGAACCAGAACAGCCAGTTTCTCTGGTATGTCACCATTGTGCCTACAGTGGGGACAGCCTAAACTCCAAAATCTTTTAACCTATATTTAATCCTGAGGAGTCCTGAACACAGCATGATCTACCTCTAGAGACCTAGCTTCATGGTGACAAGGCTCCCATGTGTAGTTGGTACATATTGACGGAGCACCTACTTAGTGCCTGACATTGTGGAAGACTCTAGAATATGACCATGAACAAAACATGCACATTTTTCCCCATCAGAGTTCTCACAATCTAAGGGAGGGAAGCAAGTACTTACAACAGCAATTGTGTAAGTATTAGATGCCAAGGGGTCACAGAAGAGGGAGCACCTATGAAGAAAGTTGCAACTTTGAGTGTAGTCGTCCTCATCCCCTTTCCCTATTTCTTTGTGACTGAGCAAATATGATACTATATTAATGTCACACTTACAAAGGCCTTACTCCTCATATGTACAGTTACATAGACCATGCATTTTGAACTCTGGATGAGCCTCTCAGGAAAGCAAACCATCCATACACAAGACTTTCCACTTGTTTTTGGTCTCCGCAAGCAATGATTAAATTTTGTTTTTTATTTTCTTCTACACAGCAGAGTCTGAGTTCAGATTCCCCAGAAGCAGATGAGGATTCATGGGCAAGTGATATACTAAGCAAATGCTCCCATGAGAAGACTAGGTATGGGGGTAAGAAAAACATGACAGGGAGGGGAAGAATCCAAGCAAAAGCACAATTTCAAGTAAAGCCCCAGCTTCTACCTGGTCCTTCAGGAGGGCAGCTCAGGAATGTAAATTGTACCTTAGAATTTGTCCCAGCTGGTGGCCAAAGAGTTGGTCTTTCACAAACCCATTTCATAAGCCCGTATCAGTCACTCATTGGCCATCCAAGGAGACATAAACTCCTAGGCACTTAAGACAGTTTTGTGTGTGTGAGTAAACAATTCTAGTATCCCAAGACCCAGACTCAGAGTGAGTTATAGTTGCAGACTATTTAGGAGTAAGGACACACAGAAGCACAACAGAAGGTATACAGGAACCTACAAACAAGATCCAAAAGGATCTGGGCAGAGCACTGATAGGGTTGCTACAAGTGTCTGTTGTTATAGTACATACACATAAGATAAATAGAAGGGAATCAGTGCATACAGAAAACCATCAATTCACAAGAAAGGCAGAAAGAGAAAAGGAACAAGGGAACTACAAAACAGCCAGAAAACAATAAGATGTCATTAGTAAGTTCTTAACCTATTAACAGTTGTTCTAAGTGTAAGTTAACTAAATTCTCCCATCAAAAGGCATCGAAGGGATAAATGGATAGAAAAATAAGACCCGACTATGTGCTGCCTACAAGAGACTCGCGGTCAACTTTACAAACACAAATAGGCTCAGAGTGAAGGGATGGGAAAGGATATTCCTTGCAAGTAGAAACCAAAAGAGAGCAGGAGTAGCTGTACTTATACCAGACAAATTGGATGTTAATTCAAAATCTAACAAAAGATGGGGTCATTATATAATGATAAAGAGGTCAATTTATCAAGAGGACATAATCATAAATATATATGAACACTAAATTAGGACACCTTTAAGTATATTAAGAAAATACAGATCTGAAGGGAGAAATAACAATACAATAATAGTGGCACTTTAATACTCCACTTTCAACAATTGATAGATCAGACAGAAAATCACTAAAAAAATGCTGAACTTGATCCTCTGCGTAGTGTCTGCGAACCGCCATGACTGCCAACGATTATCCATCATTATGGGGCTTTGGAACAACAAAAACATTTAAAATTCCTGTGGAACATTTGGATTTTAAGTATATTGAAAAATGTTCAGATGTTAAACACTTGGAAAAAATTCTTTATGTGCTCAGGTCTGGTGAGGAAGGATATTATCCTGAACTTACGGAATTCTGTGAAAATCGTCTTAAAGGCTTGGCTCCTGAAAGTAGAGCTTTGAGGAAAGATAAACCTGCAGCAACAGCAGCCAGTTTTACAGCAGAAGAATGGGAAAAAATTGACGGTGATATAAAGAGTTGGGTGTCGGAAATTAAAAAAGACGAAAATAAAATGCACTTTCATGAAACTGAAACATCTCCAGCAATGGAAGATCATTTGCCTCCAGTTCGTGGTTCAAACAGCCGTGTTCATGTTAGTAAGGAAAAATATTCTAATAGCAGACGACCTAAAAAGAAAATTCCGAGGGATTATGCAGAATGGGATAAGTTTGACGTGGAAAAGGAATGTTCAAAAATTGATGAAGATTACAAAGAAAAAACTATAGTAAACAACAAGTCACATTTGTCTAAAATTGAGACAAGAATAGACACAGCAGGTCTAACTGAGAAGGAAAAGACTTTTCTTGCTACTCATGAAAAGGAAAAAGGAAATGAAGCTTTTAACTCAGGGGACTATGAAGAGGCTGTGATGTATTATACTAGGAGCATATCCGTGCTCCCCACCGTGGCAGCCTATAACAACCGTGCTCAAGCAGAACTCAAACTACAGAACTGGAACAGTGCTTTCCGGAATTGTGAAAAGGTCTTGGAGTTAGAACCTGGAAACTTGAAAGCTCTTCTGCGCCGTGCCACTACATATAAACATCAGAACAAGCTCCAGGAAGCTATAGAAGATTTGAATAAAGTACTGAATGTTGAACCTGATAATGAGTTGGCCAAAAAGTCCTTGTCGGAGGTTGAGAGAGATCTGAAAAATTCTGAACCTGCATCTAGGGCTCAAACCAAAGGGAAGAGAATGGTTATCCAGGAAATAGAAAACACAGAGGATGAATGTGGGAAGGACAGCGGAAGAGCCCAGGAAGACGGCAGTGGAGATAAGAGTAAAACATTTTTCCTCTTTTGGTTACACAAAAACCTCCCTTTTTGTATGGGCTGGCTCAAATTTTCTATTTCTACCAAAATTCTTAGTCCGCCAAAACTTTTCTAGCTGCACCATGTAAATCCACAAACAAGTTTGTTCTTTTTTCTTAGGGAGAGAGATAAGGGGAGGGGCAGAAAGAGATGGAGAGAGAGGACCGATACCAGCAGCAGAACCAATCTTATGACCCTGAGATCATGACCTGAGCTGGAATCAAGAGTCAAACACTTAATTGACTGAGCCACCCAGGCGCCCCAAGTTTTTTTCTTACTGTTTTTCTTAATACAATCTCCCCAACCCATTTTTCTGCTTAACCAGACACCTTTCCTCTAGTGTTCAATTCAATTCTTGTTTATCATGGTATGTTGACATTATTGATAATTTGCAAGTTAACCTTAAATCCCTCTCCTAGATGATTGTTTTGTATACAGCTACTTGGTTGTAAACCAAATGTGTCGTCTTCACAGGGATGAATGCATTGTTGGGAAATTGCAAAAAAAAAAAAAAAAAAAAAATGCTGAACTTGACAATGCTGTAGACCAAATGGACCAAACAGACATACATAGAACATTCCATCCAACACATTCTTCTCAAGTGCACACAAACCATTCTTCAAGATGAATCATATAACTCTTGGGAAATTTTAGATTGCAATTGTACCCAGCATCTGTTTTGGCCACAGTGGTTTGCAATGAGAAATCAGTAATAGGAATAAGACTGGAGAATTCACAGTTGCATGGAATTTAAACAACATACTCTGGAATGGGTCAAAGAAGAAATCAAAAGAGAAAAAACAAATACATTGAAACAAATGAAAATGGAAACAAGTATACCCAAACTTACCAGATGTGGCAAAAGCAGTTCTGAGAGGAAAGTTTATAGCAATAAATGGTTACATTAAAAAAAAAAAAAAAAGTAAACCCAACAACTATACTGGAAGGTACTAGAAAAAAAAGCATAAGCCCAAATGTTAGCAGAAGGAAGGAAGTAACAAAGATCAGAGCAGAAATAGAGACCACAAAAACAATTTAAAAAAAATGAAACTAACAGCTAGTATTTTGAAAAGATGAACAAAATTGACAAAACTATGTAGACAAAAAGAAGTCTTAGTCCTGTTTGAGAAGACTCAAAATCAGGAGTGAGAGCAGAGCCATCACAATGGCTCTGGATCATTGGAGGCTACTATGAATACAACTATACACCAACAAATTGGATAACCAAGAAGAAATGAATAAATTTTTAGAAACATAACCTACCAAGGCTGAACCATGAAGAAATAGGAAATATGAGAAGACCAATTAATAGTAAGGAGACTGAAGCAGTAATCCAAAACCCCCCAACAAAGAAAAGGTCAGGACCAGATGACTTCCCCAGTAAATTCTATAAAACATTTAAAGAAGAACTAATGCCAGTCATTCTCAAATTCTCTCTTCCAAAAAATTGAAGAGGAGGAAACCTCCCAAACTCATTTTACAAGGCCAGCATTACACTGATAGCAAAACCAGATAAGAATGCCACAAGAGGGGCACCTGGGTGGCTCAGTGGGTTAAAGCCTCTGCCTTTGGCTCAGGTCATGATCCCAGGGTCATGGGATCGAGCCCCACATCGGGCTCTCTGCTCATCAGGGAGCCTGCTTCCTCCTCTCTCTCTGCCTGTCTCTCTGCCTACTTGTGATCTCTGTCTGTCAAATAAATAAATAAAATCTTAAAAAAAAAAAAAAAGAATGCCACAAGAAAAGTACAGGCCAATATCTGATAAATATAAATGCAGAAATTCTCAAACATATAAGCAAACCAAATTCAGCAGCATATTAAAAGCATATACCATGATCAGGTGGGTTTTAAAACATATGTAAATCAATAAATGTAATATTCCACATTAGCAGGATGAAAGATAAAAATCATATCCTCTCAAGTGGTACAGAAAAGTTATTTGATAAAATGCAGCATCCTTTCATGAAAAAAAAACTCTCAACTGAGTAGAAAGGGAAACTGACTCAACAAAGGACTCTATGACCAGTCCATAGCTAAGTTCATACTCAATGGTGAAAGGCAGAAAGCTTTTCCTTCAAGATCAGGAATAAGAAAAGGGTAACCACCTTTACCATTCCTATTCAATATAGTACTGGAAGTCCTGGCCAAAGCAATTAATTAGGCAACAAAAAGAAATAAAAAGCATCCAAATTGGAAAGAAAAAGTAAAATTATCTCTGGGGAGGATATGATTTTATATGTTGACAATCCTAAACACTCCACTAAAAAACTGTTGGACTAATCATCATGAAATTAAGTGACGTTGCAGGCTAAATGATCAATATACAGAAATCAGTTGTGTTTCTCTACACTAGCAATGAAATATCTGACAAAGAAATACACGGAAAATTATAAGGCATTGACAGACATTAAGAAGTGAAGTAGAGAAGACACAGAGGGAAAGATATCCATGTTCATGGATTGGAAAAATTGTTAGAATGTCCTTACTACCCAAATCCATCTACAGATTCAATGCAATCCCTATCAAAATTCCAATGGCATTTTTCACAGAAATAGAGAAAACAATCCTAAAATTTGTGCTGAATTACAGAATACCTTAAATAACCAAAGCAATCATGAGAGAGAACTAAGTTGGAGTCATCACACTTCTGATTTCAAACTATATTACTGAGCTGGAATAATCAAAACAGCAAGGTACAGGCATGAAAGTAGACAGACAAAGAAACAGAATGGCCAAGCCAGAAATAAACTCTCCCCTACAGAGTCAACTAATATTTTACAAGGAAAAGATAGTCTTTCTAACAAGTGGTGTTGGGAAATCTGGATAACCACATACAGAAGAATGAAATTGGATCCCTAGGGGCGCCTGGGTGGCTCAGCGGGTTAAGCCTCTGCATTCGGCTTAGGTCATGATCTTGGGGTCCTGGGATCGAGCCTCACATTGGGCTCTCTGCTCAGTGGGGAGCCTGCTTCCTCCTCTCTCTCTGCCTGCCTCTCTGCCTACTTGTGATCTCTGTCAAATAAATAAATAAAATCTTTAAAAAAAAAAAAAGAAAGAAATTGGATCCCTATCTTATGCCACTCAGAAAAACTAAAATAAAGACTTAAACATAAGGCTGAATCCTTAATACTCTGGAAAGAAAACAGGGAGGAAACTCCTTGACATTGTTCTTGACAACAAGTTTTTGGGTAAAACACTGAAATCACAAGCAACAAAAGCAAATATAAATGGGACCATGTCAAACTAAAAGGCTTCTGGACAACTAAAGAAACAGTCAACAAAATGAAAGGGCAATGTGGAGAACAGGAGACAATATTTGCAAACCATATCTGATGAGTTAATATTCAAAATACTTAAAGAATTTATGTAACTCAATAGTAAAAAAAAAATTGACAGGAAAATGGGCAGAGGAACCCAATGGACATTTTTCTGAAGAAAACATATGAGTGGCTAACAGGTACATAAAAGATAAGATACTCAACATCCCTAATGATCAGAAAAATGCAAACCAAAAAGATGAGATAACAAATGTTGGCGGGGACATGGAGAAAAGGGAACTCTCATATAGTGTTGGTGGAAATATAAGATGGTACGACCACCATGGAAAACAGTATGGAGGTTCCTCAAAAAATTTAAAATAGATCTACCATATGCTCAAATAATCCCACTTCTGGATATATATCCAAAGGAAATGAAAACAAGATCTCAAAGAGATATCAGACTCTTACAGTCATTGCAACGTTCTTCGTAACAGCCAAGGTACGCAAAGAGCCTAAGTGTTTGTCAACAGATGATTGGATAAGGGTATGGATTATGTGTGTGTGTGTGTGTGTGTGTGTGTGTGTGTGTGTGTGAAGAAATATTTATCCATGAGAACGTAGGAACTCTTGTCATTTACAATAACATGGATGGACCTTGAGGGTATTATGATAAGTAAAATAAGAAATTAATAAGACAGAAACTGTATAGTATCACTTATATGTGAAACATCAAAAAAAAAAAAAAAAAAAAAAAAAAAAAGAACTCCTAGAAAGAATAGAATGGGTATTGTCAAGGGCTGGATGGTGGGGAAAATGAGAAGATGTGAATCAAAGGGTACAAATTTCTGGTTATAATTAAGTTCTGGGGATTTAATGCTTAGCATGGTACCTATGGTTAACAATACTGTATTGTATAATTGAAAATCGCTAAAAGTACATTTTTTTATTAACATATCATGTATTATTTGCTTTGGGGTACAGGTCTGTGAATCATCAGTCTTACACAATTCACAGTACTCACCATAGCACATACCCTCCCCAATGTCCATCCCCCAGCCACCCCATCCCTCCCACCCTCTCCCCTCAGGCAACCCTCAGTTTGTTTCCTGAGATTAAGAGTATCTTATGGTTTGTCTCCTTCCCTGGTTTTGTCTTTAAGAGAGTAAATTTTAAATGTTATCTCCACAAAAAAGAAATGGTAATTATGGGAGGTGTGGAGGCATAACTAACCCTACTGTGGTCATCATGTCACAATACATAAGTTATTCATCAAATTATATGTTGTACATCTTAAACTTACATAATGTTATTTGTTAATTGTATCTCAAAGCTGGGGGGGGGGAATCTAGAAAAGACTTTCAGCCAGATGTTTAGTTCTTGAATATCCAGTTGAGATGTATAATTTTTAAGATAATGGCTCATCGGGGCGCCTGGGTAGCTCAGTGGGTTAAAGCCTCTGCCTTCAGCTCGGGTCATGATCCCAGGGTCCTGGGATCCAGCCCTGCATCGGGCTCTCTGCTCAGTGGGGAGCCTGCTTTCTCCTCTCTCTCTGCCTGCCTCTCTGCCTACTTGTGATCTCTGTCAGATAAATAAATAAAATATTTTTTTAAAAAAAGATAATGGCTCATCACTGCAAGCTTTTGAGAAAGGAAATGGTACAGACATGTCAGTGAAGCCTGAGATAGATCAAGAGAGCCTGGCACATGGAAGGTCCTCTATAAATGTTTGTTGAGGGGTGCCTGGGTGGCTCAGTGGGTTGGACCTCTGCCTTCGGCTCAGGTCATGGTCTCAGGGTCCTGGGATTGAGCCCCACATC